AATACAGGAGAAAGCAGGAGAAAGTAGGAGAACACAGGAGAACCCAGGAGAAACCTGGAGAAAGCAGGAGAATACAGGAGAATACAGGAGAAAGCAGGAGAATACAGGAGAAAGCAGGAGAAAGCAGGAGAAACCAGGAGAATATAGGAGAAACCAGGAGAAGGCAGGAGAAAGCAGTAGAATGGTGGAGAATACAGGAGAATACAGGAGAAAGTAGGAGAACACAGGAGAACCCAGGAGAATGCAGGAGAAACCAGGAGAAAGCAGGAGAAAGCAGGAGAACACAGGAGAAAGCAGGAGAAAGCAGGAGAATATAGGAGAAAGCAGGAGAACACAGGAGAAAGCAGGAGAAAGCAGGAGAAAGCAAGAGAACACAGGAGAAAGTAGGAGAACACAGGAGAAAGACAGGAGAATACAGGAGAACGCAGGAGAACGCAGTGGAACGCAGGAGAAAGCAGGAGAATACAGGAGAAAGCAGGAGAATACAGGCGTAACCAGGAGAATACAGGAGAACACAGGAGAACCCAGGAGAATGCAGGAGAAACCAGGAGAAACCAGGAGAAAGCAGGAGAACACAGGAGAAAGCAGGAGAAAGCAGGAGAATATAGGAGAAAGCAGGAGAATACAGGAGAAAGCAGGAGAATACAGGAGAAAGCGGTAGAATACAGGAGAAACCAGGAGAACACAGGAGAAAGCAGGAGAACACAGGAGAAAGCAGGAGAACATAGGAGAAAGCAGTAGAATACAGGAGAAAGCAGGAGAATACAGGAGAAACCAGGAGAATACAGGAGATAGCGGGAGAATACAGGAGAAAGCAGGAGAACGCAGGAGAAGCCAGGAGAAACCTGGAGAAACCAGGAGAAAGTGGTAGAAGCAAGGAGAAACAATGAGAAAGCAGGAGAGCACAGGAGAAACCATGGGAAACTAGGAGAAAGCAATTGAAATCAGGAGAATACAGGAGAATGCAGGAAAAAGCAGGAGAAAGAGTGAAAGCAAATAGTTTTTTTTGTATACTGATTGGCGATAGGACTAGAAAATACTTTAATGCAAGGTAAAAAAAAGAATGATGAATGATGAATGACAGTCTTGACTTTTATTGTACGTTAATACTCTCACGAGTTAAGTACAGGTCATAAAAGGTAAGCGCATTGATTACATAACGATAGCAAAATCTACTATTGCGTCTTAATATAAATGTATACTAATTTATTATGTACAGGTTCAACTTCTTCTCTCTTTCTAAACACAGTTGCAGATTTAAGACCAGATGATAAAAGAAAGTACGGTGGAAATTTCATATAAAGGAATCAAAACGATTAGAGGCAGATTGATACATATACTGAGTCTTATTATAGACAGACGAAAATACAAGTTGCAATCTGGAGGAATTTCATTTTGGGGAATAGGTATTGTTGCATAACTATTTAGTGGTTACAATTTACTGGTGTCACAGCGTATAACAAGTTATTTTTCAAGAAATACAAGAAAAGGAAAATAACACATAAAGATTGAGCAAGATGTCATGCTCTACACTATTTCTAACCGACATAAACTACATCTTGGCCACTATGTAAGGCCACAGCAAGTAAATTTTATGGATGACATTCTCAGCCGACTCCAAATGTAATGTGCGCGGGCGAAAACAAAACAAGGCGGACCCCAAAAAACAAGATTCCTACATTTTCAACTTTTGACATCATAAACCTTGTCAATCACAAAATGATACCTATATTGTGTTAAGGTTACTGCCAGCTATCACAACATCCATTTCTCACTGCAACAACTTTGAAAAATGAAAGTTTTAAATCATTGTACAAATGGTTTTGATTCAGTGGGAACATCACATACACACAGCCACCGTCACATATAAAAGGAATATGTGAACACATATATGAAATATATCACTGCATAAAATTACATGTAAGAGATAAAACATTAATTTACAGTCTTTCTTTGTTTCCTCTCTTCACATTTATCGATCTGCAATTCACGTTCCAGCGTGGCAAAATACATCTTTGCAGTCTCAGAGGACAACAACAACAAAATTTCTTGTTTTTTTCCAACATCGGGCGAAAATTAATGCGCGCGCTGATGTCAGCCATAAAAATTACTTGCTATGGTCTAAATGAAAAAAAAAACTACAATTATATCATTTCCCTTTCGCTTCTCCTCCTACTGAGAAAACTTGCCACCTGGTGTAAATTTAACTCCTTTATCTGAAAACTATTAGCAACTTGTCCGAGTTCCGCAACAAGGTTATTATACAACTTCATCAGTTCTGCAGCTGTTATACTTAAATCTTGATGTTGCATTAACTCAAACAATAAACAGCGTTCGAAGTCACGAAGGCCACCACGTTTCGGCTTGTCAGGGGAACGCTTGATGTAGGATAGACTAGACTCAGTACTCATCTGATGGTCGTGCTTACGTTTTACCCCCCTTCGTTTTGACACAGCTACAGGTTTCCCATTACAACATCCTTTACATCCGCAAGCGTGTGTACAACACTGGTTACTCTTTAAACACGCACATCTGATGGTGTTGCACCGTTCTTTACCCTCTTTGTCGTTTTTGCCACAACGACAAGACACAAATGATTGTTCTACATGTACAGACTCATCCAATATTTTACAATTCTCTGACTCTTGGACGTTACATGTGTCAACAGATTGCACTGCATCCATAATCGCGGCATCAAAGTGGGACAAAGATTGATCATATATCAAAAAAATAGAGGGCTCTGTGTGGCTTGTTCCAGACGATGGCGTTATAACAAGGGGAGTTTCGCTTATATCACTAAAGACTACGATTGATGTCTCTAAAAGGTTTGACAATCCCAGTAGTGCAGCATCACCTATCGGCAAATCATATATCCCTGACATGCTGAACTGTTCTACCATCTCGTAATAATCGTTACCTGATGCTGTTACAGAATCGTAATATAGATGAAAATTATCAATAAATTCCTGCACTAAGAGTTGTCGTAACCTTTTGATCATTTGTTCTTCTGTGATATTCTCTACACTTATGCCAAGTGCCGCCAGATGCTTATGTAGCTCAGATTCTTGTGGGGTCTTTTTTTGGCTTTTCAAAGACACTGCCACGGCTCGGAACAAACAGTTGCCGTCTGGGAGCACCGCCTTACGCTTAAAACCCCAAGACGAAGCTGTTTCTACAATATCTACCTTCTGTGACATTGGACAGCCGTTGTTCCCTGGCATATTCAGCTTTGCAAAAAACAACTTTGTTTCATTCAGTAGTGGGGAACATTCACTTTTGTCTTGCAAAAGATGCAAAGCTCTTGTTTTTGCGATTGCATTGCTGATTACCATTCGGTGTTTAGCTGATACCTCCACATTACCAAGAACTCCCGCGTAACTATGGTTACTTTCCGATGAATTTGAATTAAATGTGGCTAACATAGCTTGCCCATTCGCCAACAAGTCGTCCTCGTGAACCCGCGTTGTTACCCAAAGTTCATCTGCACTGGACGAAGATGACGAAGCGGCAGTGGGCTCGACCGCTGCAGTGAATGGAGTGATTAAAATGTAAACAGTAGCTTATCCACCGTTTTGGAATGAAAGGCCTTTTTACGTACAGTAGTAATTTTTGCGTGCGTGATAAATATTCATTTACTTCCCCACGGAGACAAAAAATAACGAAGCAAATACATGTGACAGATGATATAGGACCTATAGTTTTTTGTCTGAACGTGTTTGGTCTTTGTATGCAGAGCAATTGTCTGGATAAATGAAAATAAAACTCACGTTCAACTGTCGGCGTTGCTCTTATGTTTCTGGCATCCTCTTCTCCCGGCTTCTTTGAGTTCTTAGTCAGGTCTGAACCTGTGGAGTGTGAAGCCCACACGATTAATAGTAAGTTTATTGCAAGTTCTTGCCCGTGGGCTAATTGCAAGTACATGTAAGTGGACATACAAAGGAACAGACAATGTGTAACAATACAGCATGTAACTACTCTAGCCTAAATATTGGAATCTAATGTTTAACTCTAGTTCTAACTTATTGGGTTCGGCTTCTTTTTTCGAGACAGTGGAAGACGAAGAATCCCACTTTTTCGGTGATGTGTGGGTTTTGTGATGTTAAGAGAAAAGTAGTTTTCTTTTTGTCTGTAAGCATGAAGAAATTGGGATATAATTTGTTGGCTTCTCTAAATAGCTCATTTCTTTCGTAGTCGTAGAAGGGGCAGGTTGACATAAAGTGTGTTTCGTCTTCCACCTTGTTTGACCTACAGTATTTACAAGTTCTTTAATACAGGAAATGCTTGCGGGGTTAAACAAGCATGCATCACTTACAAGAAAGGTGTAAGTTGTGTTTATATGTCTATTCGCAAAAACAAATTATGAGTAGTTAGTTCTCACCATCGTCTTTGCTCCGAAAGTCCGAGGAATGGTCCATACCTCTTCTTGCCGTTTCTTGGGCAGAAAAGGGCGGTACGTAGTCGGCATCTTTGATGTGCTCCTTTGTATTTACACAATGGAAACAGTTTTGTAATGCCGCCTGTGCCAGTGGGACACCTACACACTTTGACCGTAATATGCCATGGGAATTTAGTGTGGCATGTAACCGCTCGTTCCTGTTGCTTCCAGCACCAGGAGGAATGTCGGATAAACATCCTTCATTTATGTGGAACCTTATGTTCTTCAGTGCAAGAAGCGTCTTGTTGCTCAAGACGACTTGATCATTGTGTTTCCTTGCATTCCAGCGTTCGTAGAACCGCTTCCAGTTCTCAGACATCTCTTCTATCCCTGGCGTTAACTTTTTTCTCCTTTTTCCCTTATCAGACTTCTGTCTGAAAATCATACGGAATTCTTGTATGATCATAGGTCGCAGTGAACATGTCTTGCGGATCGAAGATGTAAATCTTTGTACAGCATGAAAGAGGTCTAGTTTGACTTTTACATCTTGCCCTAGCACCTCCTGCAACATGTACCTCCATTTACAGCAGCAGTCCAGTATCACAAATTCAATGGGATTTGACAGTCTTTGTCGAATTGCCTCGAAGTGCATGCGAATGTCACTGAATTTAGTACTTTGCGTGAACCGATATTCTAGTATCTGTCCTCTTTCATTCAGTATGGCAAAAAGCGTGGGGTACTGCTTTACAAATTTCCTTGTTACTGGATGGAAGTATCCAACTTTTGAAGCGCAACGGAACGTATGGTCACAACTTAGGTATTTGGCGTCGATCGAGAGCCTGGTCTTTTCCATGATATCTTTGTTTTCCCTTATTTCAGCCAGGTACACCTTTTCCAACAATTTTCGTCCTGGACATTGTGCGGGATCAAAGTTTGGAAAACTGTTTTCCGGGTCTACATCACATTGCTCGCGAAGTCTTAAAGTGATCTGTTGCTGTCGCGTGTTGAAGCGGCCAAAGTACTGTTCGATAATGATTGACCTAAAATTCCTGATCGAGACGCCGTGCTGCAAACTGGACATCAGAAGAGATAAAAGTTTGCGACTAATTCCCGAGCGGTAGGTGAACACAAATGGCACTGGCACTTTATTAGAACACTGTTTCAAGATTGCTGGGTCTGACCCCCGTATCAGGTGCTTGGAAGGCATGCATCGGTACACCT